ACACGCACATAAAACGCAGTGAACAATGTAGCAAAAACTATTCTAGAGATTTATCTAAAACTGGAAAATTCAGTGGTACTGGGCTCTTAGTGGCGGCACTAATTTTTGTTTTTTTTTGTCTATAACTACTTGTTTATTGTATTTTACAATGTTTTTCATGGTTTTTGAATGCTTTTGAATTTTCATGCATTTTTGAACACCAGGTAAAATTTTATGAGCTTTTTTCATCTAAAAACCGTGTAAAATGCGGCAAAACTAACTTATATTTTGTTATAGGACCGTACAGGATTGCTGGGAAAAATTTGCTTCCCCCTGTTAAGAGTCCAGTACCAATTCATGTAGCCTAGGTCCCTAAAAATCCAGGTATCCCGTTTTTCGGATTAAAAAATGCAAAATTTCAAGCCTAGACGCTTCAGAATTACACCAAAAATAGGTTTCGAAACAGAAGAAGCTTCCTAAATTTTGGGACCAGCCGGGTAGAGAGAAGCGAAGAGGAGGAGGGTCCTCTACAAGGGATGGGTGTAGGTGATTAGCGTCTGTACTCGCTGTCTCTAATTCTCTCGAGATCAACCCTGTCTTTTCGTGCTCTCTCGCTGCCGGATGCCCCAGAAGGGAGCATGAGGGCCCATTAGCTGTTCCCAAATGCTCCTCCCTGCCGGTGCTAAGCGTCAAAACGTCATTAGGATGACCCGGAGGGCAATGGGGTCAGAGACAGAGAAAGAAAGAGAGAGAGAGAGAGAGAGAGAGAGAGAGAGAGAGAGAGGGGGGAGAGAGAAGGATAGCAAGACCGATCTTTCCTATTATCGGGGGGCGAAATTTGTTGTACAATCTTTAAAAAGCCTAGCAGCGTAATAGCAAATGCTTTAACAGTGTTTTTCGCAAAATAAAACTATTTCGACTAGAAACACAATCTAAAATCTTAAAAATTGTTCAAAAACGGTCATTGTTTTTCGAAAGTCGAGATTTTCTCGTTTTGGAATTATAAAAAACTGTTTAGAAATATTACCTCTATTTATATTAGCAAAATTTGGCCCTTAGGATAACAGTGAGAGAGAGAGAGAGAGACAGAGCGCGAAATAGAGAAAGCGAGCAGAGATCATTAGCCTGGCACTAGATATGGAAAGGCCACGAAATGTGGACACCCAACCCCCATCCAGCGCTGAGCTTCTGATTTCCATAAATGGACTTTGCAGGCGAGAGAGCGAGAGAGAGAAAGAGAGAGAGAGCGCGAGAGAGAGGGATACGGTGTTTCCCGTGATCCCCTAACGGGCCATTTATTCCCCCGCAGCAGCACCCCGGGGTAATTAGCATAAAAATGTGGCCCCAGGGATGTAAAGGGTTGTTGGGGGTGGCCTAGATAGTTATCTTGGTGGAAACTGGACTGCGTGGTTACGGTAATTTGCAAAAAAGACCGAAATAAAGCGAAAAAATCATATACCCCAGGGTTTAACTACGAACTGATTACGCCATTTAATTCATTTTCTAAATACAAATTCTTGGCCTACAGTAACCATTTAAAATCCAGGCCAATTGCCTAGGCACCTAAATCATTCTATTTTGCTAATCGATGCGAATGTTTGTTTTTTGAAGCGGGAGTGGGACTCAAATTGCCGAGTGCCCGGGTGAGAAGAAGCATCGGGTGGCAACATTTTGTGTGTGTTGAGATGGGGGTGAAGGGGCGGATATTGGATTAGAGCGAGAGAGGAGTGAGAGAGAACGAGCGAGGAGCACCACTCACTCTCCTCACCCGATGAAACTTCTCTCATCTGATGGGGGGTTCGTTTTTTTAGAAACTAGCCAAAAAAGAAGCTGGAGATTGAAGTGACGCCTGAATTTGAAATAAGAGTTTATGTCACAAAAAGGCTTAAAAGGGTCAGACAGACAGCGAGAGCGAGAGAAAGAGAGAGAGACAGAGAGAGAGAGACAGACAGACATACATACAGACATACAGACAGCAAACAGACGACCTCGATGCCTTGGAATCATGGAATTTAGGAAGTTGGGGACAGCCGTCCCTCTCGACCTCACCTCATGCATCAGAAACGAGCTCCAAGAGAGGGGGCAAGAGCGACCACCCGAATTTCGGCAATACGAGAAGCACAGATTGTGAGGCCGAAGCCTAAGCAAAGCTTAAGCACAAGCCTAAGCCTAAGCTCAAGCCGAAGCCTAAGCCTAAGCCCAGGCCTACGTCATAAAACCAGAAAAAGCGGATCATGCCGAAATGGAAAAGGGAATGCGGGACATGGAAGCAGAATTATGTGGCCTGGGGTATGTGACGAGGGAGTGGAGATGGGTCTCTCGTCCAACTGAGCCCCATCCCCCAATTCAATCGGGGCACCAATCAGCCGCATAAGCGACACGCCCGATTATGCCACATGCAGTGGTGGGGCGTCTCTCTCTCTCACTCTCCCGCTCTCTCTCGCTCTCACTCTCTCACTCGCTCTCTCTCACTCTCGCACTCGCTCTCTCTCACTCTCGCACTCGTTCTCTCTCACTCTCGCACTCGCTCTCTCTCTCTCTCTCTCTCTCTCTCTCTCTCTCTCGCTCTCTTTATTCTCTTTCTCCGTCCTTTCTCTCGCCTTTCTATCTAATTAGAGTTATTTAATCAGCTAACCTAACGTCGAAAACTGGCCTAAAATTTTTAAGTTAAAATAATGTGCCAGAAACAATGGTTCTGTTCTGTTAGCGGGGGGGGCGTAAATCAAGGTAAAGTTGTGTTTAAGTATAGAAGGTTCATAAAAAATTAACAAAGTTTTCGAAAACGTGTCTTTTTCGTTAAAAAAAATTAATGAAAAATGACCGCAAAAGGTAAAAATTTCGAATTTTACAATTTTTACAGAAGATTTTTCTGAGTTTTTTGTGATAAAAAACGCCAAAAAAACGGTATAAAACGCTGAAAATGTTTTTTTGCTAAATACCGTCCCCCGCTAACAGAACAGAACCGAATCGATCAAAATTCCGCAAAGTTCCTAAAGACGCCCAAATCCCACATTTTCCGCGCCAACGCCTCTCAAAAAGGGAAATCTTTAGGATGCTATAGAAATCCGCACGTATTACTTTCCACTGAGCTACAGGGGGATTTGTTGAGAGGCGTCTCCTCCTCCCCACATTTCTCCACTAGGCATTATCCGATTAGGCCACGAAAAAAAGGGGTGCCAGACGGCTTTTGGGAAGGGCTCGGGATGGCGGAAAATAATGGCAATTGGCTCGAGAGAAGAGGTAGGCTAGAACTTCTAGGAGATTTGGAAGTAAAAAGGTGAAAAAATGGTACTGGAATGTTAGCAGGGGAGGGAACTGATCTTTGTTCTCCGGTCGATTACCCGACCTGTTAGAATAAATATTGGATTTCCATAGGGGGCTTTATAGTTTTTGGTTGCTAGAATACTACAAATCATATTTTAAACATTTTTGAAAAGTCAAAAATTTCGCAAATATTTTATGAGTTTTTTATCCGTTTTTTTTTGCATCTAAAAACTGTGAAATGGTGTGAAAATGGTTTATATTTTGTGATAGGACCGTACGGGGGAAAAGTTAGTCCCCCCTGCTAAGAGCACAGTACCAAAAAAAGATCGAACTCGAAATCGAAAAAATCAATTACGCTAGGAGGGTACTTTCAAATAAGTTGTTTAAAACTTAAAAATTATAGAGAAACCTTAGATCGATAAAATTCAATCCAAATAGTAAAACTACAAACTAATAAACCTACAAAAATTTTCATCCAGAAAAATTGTCAAAGAAATCTTCAAAAATTAAGTGAACAACTATCTAGAAGCTGTAAATCGATAAGATAGAGTCCAAATAAAAAACTACAAACTACAAAACCAATAAAACAGTCCGGTTTTTTTTTAAAACCCGAAAACCGGAAATGTGCACAGGTGCCCAGCGTAGCAGGATGAGTGTGTGAGATCTGGTGGCAGAGGAGGCAGGTTGGCCCGGGGCCGAGTCAGATTGATAGGTGGACAAGGGAAGAGATCAAATGGCCGCTGCTGTTTGTCTGTCATTCTGTCTGTCTGTCTGTCTTTCTATCTGATTTTCCGGACAGCCGTGCCATGCTGCTCCTGCCCGGACACACCACACGATTCATGACCCAGTCATGATGTTGTGCATGGGAAAGCTTAGGATCCATTAGTTGCCAGAGTCGAAAGTGGCTTCGAAACAGGCTTAGGGAGCTTAGAAAATGAAGCAGCCTCTCATCTGGGCAGCTTACTAAGTTCGAGAAAGCCAGAAAACCACAAAAATGGCTTCAAAAACCGACTTCGAGAGCTTCGAGAGCTTGTTAGAAAGTAAAGAGGCTTCTGTTCTAGATAGCATACAGCTTACGAAATCTAAAAAATTTGGAAACAAGACGACAATGGCTTCAAAAACTGACTTTAATAGCTGGTAAAACGAAGCGGCTTCTTTTCTGGACAGTTTAGAAGCTTACTAAATCCTAAAAAGTAAAAAAAAACGAACTTCAGGGTTAAAAGTTAAATCTGGTACCCTAGTTATATATATTTGTGTGTGTGCCATGTCAGGGACCTAAAGGGGCACATGGCCCGGGTCTCGACACGACAAAAGCCGAAAAGGCGATCGCTCAACCCCGGGAGAAGTGAAGTGAAGGGATGGGAAAAGCGGATGGCAGGGCAGGATGGGTCATAATACTCATAACAACTACTGACTGGGTAGCAAAAGCTGAAATAAAAAGTCGAAAGTAAGTTTAGGCCAAACAAATTACAAATTACCCACAGAAAAGATAAAGAAAAGCTCTACACGGATTTTTAAGCCCAAAAAAGTCTAATAGCAAAATAGCTCATACTAATTTTTGCGTTTAAAAAAATTCTAATCCAAACTTTAAAGCACCGCATCCGGCCGTTGAACTTGTCGAAGTTGAAGCGAACGGGCATCTGGAAGGGGTGGAGCTTCTGTTAATTGAGCGGCAGACCGGCTGCTCTCTGAAAACCCCAAAATAACACAAAGATATACAAAATACCTAGAGATTCTCGTCACAACCATCTCTGCTAGGCAATCGACTCGAGGTAGTGGCCGTTGTAGGTTGTAGCCTGTAGCCTAAAAGAAAAGGGTTTTTCCAGGCTCCAAAAGCTTACCTGGCTCGCGTTTTTCATCGGGACGTGGCCATTGTAGTTTGTAGCCTGTAGCCTAAACCCAAAAGCTTTTCTAAGCACCAAAAGCTCACCTGATGGACGTTTTCATCAAATATCGGCTTGACCACAACACTACCGTTGGCTTCGCGACCAGGTTGCTGTAGTTTGTAGTCTGTAGCCTAAAAGAAAAATGGTTTTTCTAGACTCCAAAAGCTCACCTGGCGAACGCTAGGCACAATTTCGACTTCAGCCCATCGCAGAAGCCGAGCTTGAGGTCGAGGGAGTCGTAGTCGATGGCACTACCTGGAAATAAGAATATTTGAACCGCAACAAAGGAAAGGAAAGGCGGTGAGTGAAAACGAGAAAAGAAAAGTAAATTGTAAGCTAAAAAGCCAAACCAGAGGCGAAATTTGATAAGAAATAGGTGGGGATTTATGAAAAGCGTAAAAGCATTAGGGTCTCCGACTTCAAAAGCTTCTAAAGGCTGTAAAAATAGATTTTTAACCTCATGCTCTATCCATTCTCCATCCGGAAAGCTTTTTCATGCACGGAAAACGTAATTTTCCCTACAGCCAGGCTGTGCAGAGGAGTTTTCGCAGTTCTAAAAAGCTAAATTAGTCGACTACCGGATTTCAAAAGCTTCGAAAGGCCCTAAAAATCTATTTTTAACCTCATGCTCCTTCAATTCTCTACTCAGCGAGCTTTTCCATGCTGACTAAAAAAATAATCTTTACTACAGTAAGACTGTCCAGCGGACTGTTCGTATATCGGAGCACCGAAAGAGATATGCGGTGCAAATTACACAGTGTAATTCTCCCAAAAAATGATGCAAATTGTGAAAGACATGTTTATCTGTCGATATAGTACAGAAACTAAAAAGTTGGCAGTGAATTGCCAGCTTAACGGCGCGTTCCATCCTCGAAGAAGACTCCGCCATCGATGGCGCAGTACTTGGGGCAGATTCCCTTCTCTCCGGCGGCTCCAGACTGTCCGGCCTGTCCGGGCTGTCCGGGGTTTCCGTCTTGTCCGGGCTGTCCATCGGGTCCGGGGGGTCCCTTGGGTCCGGCCTGTCCGGGAGATCCAGGAGATCCGGGCTGTCCAGGAGGTCCGGGGGGTCCCTGAGGTCCGGGTTGTCCGGGCTGACCGGGCTGTCCGGGGACGAGGGGCTCGGATTGGGCGGGGGCTCCAGGCTGGCCAGGGGCTCCGGGGGCTCCGGGGTTTCCGGCGGGTCCTGAAAAATTGGGAAGTTAAAAACTGGATAACAGTGCGTATTTTGGTGTAATTAGTAATTTTTCGGAATTTTGGAGAGACCAGAGGAAAATCAGAGTTATTTTGCATTATCGGGGGGGGGGGATTTTGCTAATATAAATAGCGAAAGCATCTTCAAATATTTCTACTATTTCTAAAGCGTAAAACTTTACAAATTTTTTGCAAAAAAAGACAAAATCTCGATTTTTCGACAAAAATGGTTGATTTTGAGCAAATTTCGAGTCCCCCCGATAAGGCTAAAGTACCAATCCCATTCCCCGAACCCACTAAACTCGAAAAGCTCACCAGGGGGTCCCTTGGGTCCAGGCTGTCCGGGCTGAGCATCTCCTCCGGGCTGTCCGGGCTGTCCAGGGGCTCCAGCGTCTCCGGAAGGTCCAGGGGGTCCGGGAGGGCCGGGGGGTCCAGCGGGGCAAGGCTTGCACGGGGGAGGGGTGGTCGGCTCGCAAGGAGACTGTGGCGGGCGTCCGGGGTTTCCGGGGAGTCCAGGGGCTCCGGGCTGAAAAGGGGGAATTTAGATGGCGTAACGGGATGCGGAAAAGACCAACTTTTTTTGACTGGGATTCAATTTTACAACTGTTTTTTACCATTTCTAAACGTAAAAACTTTCTATTACAAACATATAAAAACTTAGATTTTCGACAAAAAAGTCGAATTTCGACTTCTTCCAAAATTTTCCAAAGTTTTTAGATGCTCTTTCTAGTTTCAAGATAGCTTGTTTCAACGAAAAAACTCGTAAAATAGTCTTCAAACCCTCCCCACCCCCCGATAATGCCAAAGAACCCCAAAAATTGTACCTTTCCAGGGCGTCCAGGCTTTCCGGGGGCTCCGGCGGCTCCGGCCGGTCCAGGAAGGCAGCATCCGTCGCAAGAGCCTCCTCCAGCCGAGGCAGATCCTCCGGCAACTCCGGAATCTCCGTATCCGGCCTGACGGGCAGTCCTGTTGCCGGCGGGCATCTCCTTCAGCTCGTTGACTCCGGTCCAGATTCCGCGAGCCGAGTCTTTGCAGTACTTGACGTCAGTGTTGATCGTCTTCTTGACGTGGTTGACGTAGTTGTACACCATCGGCAGGGTGACGCACACCGAGAAGACGGCCACCACCGAGAAGGCCACGGCCGAATAGGCCACGAACTTGTAGGCTGAAAAAGATACGGTTAGACGGGAAAAGGATTACTGTATTCCGCTACAGCACTTTTAATGTTATTAAGTCCAAACGAGTTGTTTAAAGCCTTAATTCGGATTCCGAAAGTCCTAAAATAAATTTAGTTTCCTTTTCCATTTGGTTATAAAAAAATAACATTTAGAAAAATCAGGTACCCTCTGGGATACTGTATTCCATTACATTACTCTTAACGCTATGAAGGATACTGTATTCCGCTTCAGTACTCTTAACGCTATTTCTTACTGCAAAGGTAATATTTTGCAAAAATCTTTAGAAAAATCAGGCTTTTGAAAAACTATCGAAATTGCCAAAAATCTACGCTTTTCAATCGTACTGTAGCCGTAAAGAGTAAACTACCGTACCTTTGACTCGATGCTCGAAATCCATTGTTGGTAGGAGACTAGGTCTGCTTGAAGGTACCACCTTCTCGGCTTATATACTCCACATCCACTGCCCCAATCAACCCCCCACGGCAAATGCGAACCCGAATCGGGTAAAAACTGCGAAAAAAGAGAAGCGGGAGAGGAGAGAGCGAGAGAGAGAGAGAGAGAGAGAGATAGAGAGAGAGAGGGAGAGAGATGCGTGGGCTGCACACACTGCCCTTCAAGGTCAGCGTTGCCTCCTGCTCCTCCTCGTGCTCCTCCTCTTCCTTCTTCCGCCTGAGGGCGATCTGTTACAAACGGAGTTTTGTTTGTTTGTCAGTCTGTCTGTCTGTCGTTCTGTCGTGTTCCCTCGTTCTATTGTCACTCACTCAGTTCAGTACGCAAAGATCTGCCAGGTTAAAGGCATCAAGGCTCAGAAAACGCAAGCCAACGTGCAACTACTTTACCAGAGACCTCTACCTCAAAAGTGTCCAGTGTACCATATCGTAGTACTGTAGCGTCTATACATATTTCGTAGTTAATTTATCACGTAAAAATGACAAATTTTTATTTTAAAAAATGCGAAAAAGAATTGGTTTTCGACCAAAAACAGTGTTTTTCGACCAAAATTCGCATAAAATTTTTTCTGATTGTTTTCTCCCTAAAATATAATTAGGTTTTACTTAAAACACTATTACGCTACTGAGCACTTCTGAACTTCTCGAAAAAGTTTTGCCCCCTCCCCCCCCTCCCCCGATACTACTAAAGAACCTCCTGCCTCTCTGCAGCTACAGTAACCAAAGCTACACTTCTCAGCTTGGCTCAATTGCAAAGCGAATCAGTCAATCTCTCACCCTCTGTCTCTCTCTCTCTCTCTCTCTCTCTCTCTCTCTCTCTCCCCTTGTTGCCAGTCCAGTACACGAAAATACTATCGGCACCCCGATGCCACAGGCGGCTTTTGATGGCTTCTCCCCTCTTCGTGGGGGTCATGCCGCACTCCCACACCAATCGAGCGATTCAAGGTCTTCTAGTTGGAGAAATCATACTTCCTGATTGGCAAGAGAACAAAAGGCTTCTGTTTAAGTTCAAGTTGCGCGGAATCGAACACGCTATGTAAATTGGTAGGCATCGTAAAAGTCAAAACGTTAGTCAACGGCACAATTTGCATTAATTCACACTTTCCAGCTTCTAGAATACCTAGCCAGTTACGCTATATTTTCCGAAAATTCGTAAAAATCAGTAAAAACAAGAGATTTAAATTGGTTTTTCAGTTGTCATTCTCGAAAATGCCTGGCGGGCTTATACAGTTACGCAATCTAATTGCTGAAAGTGCTAAAAGCGCATTGCCTTAGTAACCTACTGTTTCCAATTACGCCGTGAAATCCTAAAACTCGTAAAACAAGAAAATTTCCATAGGGTTTTCACTTTACATTCTCGAAAATACCTAACGGGTTCATCCAATTACGCCACCTAATTCCTTACAGTGATAAATCAACGATATCGGGAATAACCCCTTACGCCATCTAATTACGCCATTAATTCCTAACAATTACAAAAACCTATAACTATGAAAAATTACGTTAATGTCATACTCTCTTCCTTCTAGAAAAGCCATTTACGCCATTTAATCCTAAAATTCGCAAAAATCACTTCTAAAACCCTATGTACATTCTCGCACCTCTGCCATCTGCCATTCAACGCCCGCTGCTAGGCTCGAAACCCCTAAAAAACTGGAACCGAATATCCGTTTGCATCCGTCGGCGGAGCTTCTCTTTTTCTCTGCGTCTCTTTCTCTCTCTCGTCTCTCTCCTCCATCCCTCCACTACACTCCAATTGACGGCCTGCCTTTGTTGTCAGGCGTACCCCGTAGCTCTGATTACCCCCGCAGAAGAGAAGACAATAGTTGTTGTTTATCTTTTTTTTCAGGCTTGCAGGTGGAAACGTAGCTTGTACCTAACATAAGCTAATCAGAGAACAGGGTGCTTTCGCTTTATCGGGGGGCGCACTTTTTATAAGTCTAGAAATACCTAGCAACCTAATAGAAAGTGTACAACCGTGTTTTTCGTAATATATAACTATATTAAACCCAGAAAACTATCTAAAAACTTTTTAAAAAGCCTAAATTTTGTAAAAAAATCGTTCTCGTCGTTGTAAAAACATTTTCGGTCGAAAAATCGCTATTTTTGATACAAACTTATAAAGTTTTCCCGTTTGGGAATTCGAAAAGCCATTTAGAACACTTCCACTATCTATCTATGAAAACTTCGATCCTAAGAAAAAAATCCAGTAGACCTCTAATAAGTAAAAATTTCCCACCACTTTGCACGTACTTCACCTAAGCTAAGCCCATTAGGCAAAAACATTTCAATTTTCCCATCCGCTACGCGACACTCCAATTGACAGCCCTTGGCCAATCCAGAAAGCCATCTAAACGACCTCTCCCTTCGCTAATATCTGCCAAGTTCCGATTTGGATCTCAAGGCGAGAATCTTAAGAAGTCGATGTCAACAAGCTACAGCTTATGCCTGAGCCTAAGCCTGTGTCTAACCCTACGCCTAAGCCTAAGCCTAAACGAAGCAAGTGCTTATGCCTATGCCTAAGTCTAAGCCTAAGCAGAATCCAATCCGAGCCTAACCAATCCTAGTAAGTAAGTGGGCTTCAGCTAGCTTCGTCAGCCTAATAAGCCTAAGCCTTAAAAACTCCACTTCCGCTTCACCCCGTCAGCTGATGGTCATTTCCCGTCGCTTCCCCTCCTCAAATCAAAGCACATCTGCGGGGAAAGGAGTGACCGTGAAGAAGCTAATCAAGCCAGAACAGATCGCGCATTGTCCAATCGAGAGAGAGAGAGAGAGAGAGAGAGAGAGAGAGAAAGCGAGAGAAAGAGAAAGAAAGAAGAGAGAAAGAAAGAAGAGAGAACTAAAGAAAAGCTATGTCCTTGGTTGTCCTCAACACCCCCATTGTCTCGACACCTTTTCGGAATCGCGAAATTGGGGCTTGAAAAGTAGGGAAGAGACCTGCGACTTCAAGGTTGTGCCTAAACCGAAGTCAAAGAACACAAGAACACCAGGGGTACATGAAAAAACAGGTACAAAATTACGATAGGTAAATACGAACAAGCTACCCGTTACGATAGATAAATAAAAATCAGATATCAGTTACGATAGGTAATTAAAAGCCAGGGACCCTTTACGATAGGTAAATACAAAATCTGGTACCCATTACGCTATCTAAATCAGTTCAGGAGGCGATTACGCTAGGTAAATATAAATCAGGTGGCCATTACGATAATTAAATCAAAAAAAAAAAAATTGAAAATTTTTTGGGTTTTTTTTTTTTAAAAAAAAAAAGAAAAAGGGGGGTTTTAAAATTTTTTTTATAAAAAAAAAAGGGGGGGAAAAAAAAAAAAAAAAAAATTTATTTTTTTTTTTTTTTTTTTTTTTTTTTTTTTTTAAAAAAAAAATTTTTTAAAAAAAAAAAAAAAAAAAGGGGGGAAAAAAAAAAAAAAAAAAAAAAAAAAAAAATTCAGGAACCAATTACGATAGGTAAATAAAAATCAGGTACCCTACAAGTGTCTACACCTGAAATCAGGTGTCTACTCCCTAAAGCCCGTAAAAAACTACAGTATCCCTCTAAATGTACATGCAAAAACTGTTGCTCATCTATAGCTTCGTGATCACTTTTAAAAAATATGCATTAATTTTTATTCCATTTTTTATATTCTATTAAAACAAGCAACGAAAGACGAAAATTATGCAACAGTTCAACAAACAGATCAAGCAAGGGAGATTCTAACAATTCTAGGGACTCCAAGGATTCTAGTTATCATTTCTACATAATAAACTAACGGGGTTTTATGTAATAAATATCATGCGATAATAATAATAATAACAAAACAAGCAAAAACTGACTGCGCTTATTCGATTACGCAATGGAAATCCGAGCACGTTGCGGCCGTCATTTTCCTTGTAAGTGCACTTTGAGGAGAGATTGGATGAATGTGAGGGCTTCGGTGAGGGCTTCTGGCTGAAGCACCGAGATCAGTTGGCCTTCTGAAAATGAGAAAATAAATATGTTAAATTTAGTCTTGAGATTAACAAATATAGCGAAGAAATTTATTTTTTTAAACCACGGAAAGGCATCTGAAAAATCAGATACGAAAATAGATAGGTTTTTTCGAGGAGAAGCGTTTTTATAGTCCAAATTTTGCTAGCATAACTAAAAAGTGTTTCTATACCGATTTTCAATATACCTAAATGTAAAACGCTACAGAGTTGTATTAAAAAAAAACGAAAAATAACGATTTTGGGCAAAAAATTAAAATTTTAGATAGCTTGCTTGGTTTCTTAAATAGTTTCTCGCTGAACGTCTAGCTAAATTTTACCAAAAATATATTTAAAATACCTGCTATCATATTATTAGAAATATCGCAAATCATAGAAAAATAAGTCGAATTAACAATTTACCTATCGAAAAAGATTTCCTATTTATTTTATAACTAAAAATCCCCTAAATTTTATAATCCTCACCTTTTGGGATGAGCTCGTGTACGCGCATGGTTCGGAGACAATTCTTGATCGAGTCCGAGTTGATCGCCTCCACTAAAAAATTTAGGTAATTTTTAGAAATTCAAAACTCACCCATCAGCTCAAATGGGAAATCGTAGGCGGGTCGGGCGAGCGTGCGCTGGATTAGCTGACGGGTGAAGTCGATTTCTAAAAGAAAAACAATTTTTTAGACTAAACAAATGCAATTTAAATTTCAGGTACTCTTCAAAAACTTTCGAAAATTGCTAAAAAATCACGTAAGCCTCTCAAACCAGCTAAAAAACCCTCAAAATTAAGGTATCCTGCTCCGCTAACATGACAAAAATTCAGCTACGCGCTTGAATTCCTCTAAAACCGACCTCTAATCGGCTCCTTCGTTACCGTAAGCCGTTGGAGTACGATGTACAACGTCTGGGCGAAAGGGCGCAGGAAATTTGAGTAGAACATCAGCTCGTCGGCATGGCGAGGGGTCGAGATCTGG